TGAGGTCGGCGAGTCGGTCGTGCTAACCCAACGCCGCCCCCGCGCGGCTGCCAGACCGTGAGGGGAGCCCCCGGGCTTTCCCGCCCCAGCACAGCAGCCCCGCGCGGCTCTCCCTCGACAGGGAGGGGATGTTAGCTAAGGATCGAGTCGTTACCTCCTTCCAAAATCCCCCAAGCCCATCAGCAGCTGCCTCCTCCTCCCTGCCTTGTCCTGCTCTCAACTTTTCATCTTTTTCCCCCCTAAGGTCTCCCACACAGGCTATAAAATTCCACCGCAGGCCCAGCCAAAGATTTTCAGGGCCCAAGGTGCCATGCCATCAGTGGCTGGGCACAGGGGCGGACGAGAGTTTTGCGGGGGCCCAGAGCAGCACAATATTGCGGGGGGGGGCCCCTTTGAAGAAAAAACAGAAAAAAGGGGTCCCCCTATGCCCATTCCTTCAGTAGCCCCACACTGATCATGTGAACTTACCCCCTCCTCATCCCCTCTCCTAACACCTCCCTCTACACACCTGCCCTGCCTCTCTCTTCTGGTGCTGGTCCCTCCCCTGCAGGTGTCTGCCCTTCTGCTTCATCCCCCAGAATCCCCTGAAACCTGCACCTTCCCTTACCCCTGCACCCTCCTGGTGCCTCCCCCTTCCCTCACTGCCCCTACCTCCTTTGCCCTCTTTTTCCCTGATGCCCACCCCCTCACTACCCTCTGCCCCCATGATTTCACACATGCCTTGGCTCCATCCCCGCCTTCCTCATGCCCACCCTTCCTTTCAAGCCTTCTCCCAGCACCTCCCCTCCCCCCTATAGACCTCAATGCCCTTACTCTCTCCTCTCCCAGCATCACCATGTCCCCCCTCTGCGGGGTAAGGAAGCGATTTATGTGCTGCTGCTCTCCCTCCCCACAGCCTGGAGGCTTTCTCAGCAGGAGGCTCAGAGCCAGGTAAGTGCTAGGAATGTTAGATATAGTTTAATTGAATAATCATGTAACTGCACCAAATTTTATTGGTGACACGATTATTCAGTAGTTCCCAGGGGTGGGGCCAGCAGACAGTATTCTCCCACCCCTAATAATTGCCCCCCTCATGCCCAGACCCTGCACCCCAATCACTCTCCGACCCCTCCATCAACACCCCACAATCCCACTGTGCTCCTACACTCTCCCTCCCTCACAGACCCCACCATCCCCAGTCTGCTCCTGCACCGTATGTCCTGCACCCATTTTGTTCATCATAGGTGGTAGGTTGGTGGTCCACAAAAAGGTCTGTGTTGAGCAAGATGGGCCACAGGCCAAAAAGTTTGAGAATCACTGCACTAGATCCAGCTACTTTTCCAAATGATGGATGAATGAAGAAACATATGATACCATTCAATGAGAGTAACTGATAATTTTTATGTTTGATATATTTATTTATTAGTCATGTTGAAATATTAAATAGAAGCTGTAGGTCTAGTTATGCTTTTGGTTCAAACTCTTGGGCCAGTTGTCTACTTGGATTATTTTTAGAAATAATCTTTTTAGTGGACATTCTTATATTTCCAATATTGTATTTTGTTTTTTTTTTTTTAGAAAACTTCTATGAAGCAGAATAAATACTGTATTATAAGCATCAGTATCAGCAGCATGTTCTCAGACAAGTCTCATGATTATCAGAACTGATGTAAGAGGATATTTTCACCACAAGCTCCACTCAAGCACATCTGAAGAAGTGGGTTTTGCCTATGAAAGCTCATGATACTATATATTTTTGTTAGTCTCTAAGGCTACATTTATACTGCAATACTATTTTGGGATACCAGAGTATCCCGAAATAGCTATCCCACAGCTTCACAGCAAGCCTCGTTATTTTGGACTTGCTATTCCGATATCCTTGTAAACCTCATTCTACGAGAAGTAAATGGGTGTTTCGGAATAGCGCTTTATTTCAAAATTTGGCTCTGTGTAGACAGCACCAAATGATGAAATAAGCTATTTTGAAATAGCATTGAAATAAGATACACAATTTGCATAGCTCAAATTGTGTATCTTATTTCAAGGAATGGTGCAGTGTACATGTACCCTAAGGTGCCATGGGACTACTTGTTTTTAAAATTACAAACTAACACAGCCATCCCTCTGAAACGTTTCGCCACAAGGTGTCACTGTATTTCTTTTGTCTTATTTTACAGGTGTTTAGGAAAAACTTTCCTAATCAAACTTCTCAAAGGGCTTTCATGGACAAAACCCACTTCCTCAGATGAACAGAGTGGCACTAACAAAAGTTGCCAACTAGGTTTGCCAACTTGGTAATACAGTAGAACCTCATTGTTACGGACACCTTGACAATGGAGGTTGTCTGTAACTCTGAAACGTCTGTAACTTTAAACAAGCACAGTTCGGGCTCCAGATCCAGCAGCTAACACTCTAGGCCACGAACTCATCAGCAACTGAGCTCCCTACTCAGCCTCATCATGAGTCTGGAGCTTGTCCTGTTCCAGGCAGATAGGTGTGTATAAATGTATGCGTGTGCACAGGGGAGTAAAAACACTGTATCCTTCTCTGGTTGCACATGGTGTCCAGGTGATTGGTCAATCTGTAACTCTGGTGTTTGTATCTTTGAGGTTCTATTGTATTTAAAAACTACACTCCAGCAGGAGTGCCAGAACTTCCCCTGTTCTGCCTCCTCCCTCCTGAGGCTCTGCCTCTTCTCTAAAGCCCTGCCCTTGCCCTGTAGCTTCCACCTCCATGTTGCTTTGTGTTTTCTCCCACTCCTTCCCTGCCCCTCTGCCCAGGTTGTGAGGGACTTGTGTGGGGCTGGGAGCTGCACTTACCCAGTGCAGGAAGGAGGTGCCCCCTATTGAGTAGAGGCTGATGCAAGTGATGACCTGGTGACCCCTGCCTCTCCTGTCCTCAGTAATCACACTTAGGGTGGCTGGTCAGTAAATCTAGTTGGATCAGTTTGTACATCCTCAGTAGAGAGTTCGGGCACTACATTTTCCAAAGATTCTCACTGTTGTGAGTATATCCTCTACTCTCCTGTTTTATCCGACTGTGTGTGCATCATCTCTACAGAGCAACTGAGCATGCTTTTTCCTGGAACTGTAGCAGATGAGCAGCACTGTGGTACCTGGCACCCAAACGAAGTAAGGAAACTGTTCTTCTTGTGCTTTAAATGACCCACCTACTGGCATCCAGGCATTGGGAGGAAATAAGAAGCAGCCTGACTTAGAATGCAGAAGAGTAAGGAATGGTGTGTGTGTGTTTGTGTGTGTGTGTGTGTTTGTGTTTGAGAAAAGAGTAGGCCCGTTGCTTGGTGCTAGGTCTCAGTTTGGTCCCTGATCTTTAAAGAACAAATCACATTGAATCACCCTATCTATCTTCTTCTTAGTCCCGTCCAGGATATTTTCATTCCTCCACTGAAACCCTCTCAGTTTTCATCTGTCATTAAGAAAGCCTCACATATGTATTTCAGCTACCTTTTAAAAATTCTTTTCAGTTCCACTTCATCTATAGTCATTGTTCACCTGCATTATCTAGGAATAAATGTGTAGAGCATGAGTCTTACTTATCCTCCTGTCTCTTTGCTAGGAATGAGATCTGAATATTATATGGCTGTTAGCACTGAAGTCTGTTTTTCTAATAACCTTATAATGAATTTATCTTTCTAACACCTTTGGAAGCCAGAGGAGTATACTCATGTTAGAGATGAGGTACCAAGGCACAGACCAAGTAAATAACACATCCAAGATCACACAGAAAGTCTATAGCTGAGCCTGGAACTGAACTCCAATTTCCTTTGTGCTTGCTGAGTACCTGGGTCACAAGACCACCTTTCTGCAATCCTGCAGCATGGAACTATGCTGCACTACACACAAGAAGGAGGTGGGTCTCCTTCCCTACATTTATATGCATAAGGTCTTAGAGGCCTCAGCATGGGAATTTACAAAATGCTGCAATATTTGCAGTGTTTGAACTGAATGTGCAGTGTTTTGAGTTTTGATTATAGTAATCTCCATGGAACCTGGAGGGAGGATCATGGATTGCAGGTTGAATACAGAGTGGTTTTGGTTAATAAGTAAGCAGTCCTCTCATGTTATTACCCAGCACATGAAACATGCTTTGAATTTTTGCCTGAACCATTTTGTTCAGCTGTACATAGTATATTGGAACTCGAGGTGTGGGGGATGCAGCTGCAGTTCCTGGCTAGAAGTGGTTTGCAGTAGATATAGGGTTTACAGTTTGGTTTAATGGCTCTCAGGACCCCCACTATAAAAACTGTTTCAGCAGCCCAGTACATGCTTGTACTTTGAGTTATTATTTGTCACAAGTGCCTAGAGAATGTCCTCTCTCCTTTGTGGAAAGTATGAAGAATTCAGAACCAGCTGCACCCAAGCTGACAAGGAGATTTGAATCAAAACACTTACCACAGAAACTGAGAAAGGTTAATTTTAAACAGCAGTGAAGCATAGGCTCCATAGAAAAACACAGAGATAATTAGATAATGTCTGAGTTCCCAGTGGATATATCTATCCTGTAGTCTAACCAGAGGACAAATCCAGGGAGAGTTGAAACTGGGTGTGTGTGGATGAGAGAGTAATGCACAAGAGGGATTATCTTGACTTTCAAATGATAGAGCCTGTAAACCAAGTAGATTGTTATTATTTAAACTGCAATTGCCTCTCCTGAACTGTAGGCCTTAAAAAGTTCTGCTAGAGGGTAGTCACACATTGTTCTGATGACACAGGAGATAAGCCCTGACTGAATAAAATTCTGAGAAACCAGAGAGTACTGTGGGTTTCCTGTTTCCTGTCAG